TACCCGGAGGGCTGGGTGCGGATAGTGATGGAAGTCCGAGTTACCAAAGCTTGACTGAAGCACATAACGAACCTGACCTAGTCCTGATCTTGATCTGACGGAACTCTCTGCCCAACAGACTGATGTCTGGCCATGCCACTCGGAAGAGACGGTTAACCGATACAACAAGACGCACTAGTTCCTCTGACAAAATTGGACAACCATACCCAACCGACAAGCAGTGACATTATGTCACGATGTGCCACGCAGCAAAGAAGCTTAGACAAGCGAACTACCTACCGATGAAAGACGGGCAAACGTATAATATCCGGGCGCTGACAAGCCTGACTGAACACCTTTTGCCAACTGATGGCCTCTGGAACTTCGGAACCGACGACAGGCCACGGATATCGAAGAAAGATAAGAGGAAGGCCGTCCCGTGGAACCAGCACCAAGGACAATCATTCCAACAGATCCGCAGACAGGCGAAACTTCATCATATCGCCAGGGTGTGGAGCCTGATGGCAATCCATCTTACCCAACCCTGTGATGAGCAGACAAACGAAGCCTAGCGTCCATCCTGTCTTCGGACCTGACGAAGATCTCCCTCTCCCAGACAGAGCATGCTAAGGCCATCAAGCCACTCCGGAAATAACGGTAGACCGATACCAAAACAGACCGCAGCAGAGTTCCTCTAAGGACGATGGACAACCTGACCAGGTATAGATCACTGTGTGACCACGGAGAAGAAGCGGGGTTAGCAAGGAACTAAACATGAAAGCGGAAATGATAGATAGTCCCTGACGAGAAGCGCGCATGATCACCTAAATGCCAACTGAGTAGCCTCTGCGAAACTCAGTTAACGACGAAGCACGATAATCGCCAGAAAATGAGGAAGCCTCCCTTAGGAACCCAGCACGGACAATTCTTCCCACACAGCAAATGAGAACAGGGCAACTTATCATTATAACCGGCTGGTGGACCTAATATGAAGTCTCATTACAACTGTCGATTGAGCACAAGACGCCCTCAACCCTCCGCCCCCCGCCACCCGCAGCGGCGCACCAACACCGCGCAGCCGCCCCTATAACAATCCATCCTCGTACTGAAGACTGACGACTACTCCTCTCAACAAGCGATTTATGGGGCCATCCACTCGAGGAAAAGACGAGTGGGTACGAGGATACGACAGGACACAACACGACAAACGCAGCGAAGGGTAGTTCCTCTGGCACAAAGATGGAACCAGACACTACCCAACCGACAGCAAAGTAGAACATCTATGTCACCTGTCCACGAGAAAGAAGGCCGTTAGCAAGAACTACCTACCGATGAAAGCGGAAACGTATATATCCGTGACAAAGCCTGCGATGGGGATCAACCTAATTGCCAACTGCACTGCCTCTGGAAAACTCTCGCGAACGACGAAGGCACATAAATCCGAGAAAGATGAAGTAAGGTCAACGTCCACATTGGACCGACGCGACCAACGATTCCCTTCCACAGATGAGACAGGAAATATCTATCGTGGTGGACCTAGATGGAAGTCCATTACCAACTGATGAGCACAAACGACCTATCCATCCGGTTCTTGGACCTGACGGATCTCCTCTCCCAACAGACGATTCTGGCCATCCACTCGGAAAAGACGGTAGACCGATACCAACAGACCGCAGCGGAGTTCCTCTGGACAAAGATGGACAACCACTACCCACCGACAGCAGTGGACATTATGTCACTGTGCCACGAGAAGAAGGCGTTAGCAAGGAACTACCTACCGATGAAAGCGGAAACGTGATATATCCCGTGACAAAGCCTGATGGATCACCTTTGCCAACTGATGCCTCTGGAAACTTCGTAACCGACGAAGGCACGATAATCGAGAAAGATGAGGAAGGCCGTCCCCTTGGACCAGACGGACAAGTTCTTCCCACAGATGAGACAGGGAACTTCATCTATCCGGTGGTGGGACCTGATGGAAGTCCATTACCAACTGATGAGCACAAACGACCTATCCATCCGGTTCTTGGACCTGACGGATCTCCTCTCCCAACAGACGATTCTGGCCATCCACTCGGAAAAGACGGTAGACCGATACCAACAGACCGCAGCGGAGTTCCTCTGGACAAAGATGGACAACCACTACCCACCGACAGCAGTGGACATTATGTCACTGTGCCACGAGAAGAAGGCGTTAGCAAGGAACTACCTACCGATGAAAGCGGAAACGTGATATATCCCGTGACAAAGCCTGATGGATCACCTTTGCCAACTGATGCCTCTGGAAACTTCGTAACCGACGAAGGCACGATAATCGAGAAAGATGAGGAAGGCCGTCCCCTTGGACCAGACGGACAAGTTCTTCCCACAGATGAGACAGGGAACTTCATCTATCCGGTGGTGGGACCTGATGAAAAGCCATTACTAACTGATGATGCACAAAACGACCTATCCATCCGTTCTTGGACCTGACGGATCTCCTCTCCCACAGACATTCGTGCCGCCATCATCGAAAAGACGGTAGACCGATACCCACAGACCGGCAGCGGGAGTTCCTCTGGACAAAGATGGACAACCACTACCCACCGACAGCAGTGGACATTATGTCACTGTGGCACGAGAAGAAGGCGTTAGCAAGGAACTACCTACCGATGAAAGCGGAAACGTGATATATCCCGTGACAAAGCCTGATGGATCACCTTTGCCAACTGATGCCTCTGGAAACTTCGTAACCGACGAAGGCACGATAATCGAGAAAGATGAGGAAGCCGTCCCCTTGGACCAGACGGACAAGTTCTTCCCACAGATGAGACAGGGAACTCATCTATCCGGTGTGGACCTGATGGAAGTCCATTACCAACTGATGAGCCACACAACGACCTATTCCACCTGTTCTTGGACCTGACGGATCTCCTCTCCCAACAAGACGATTCTGGCCATCCACTCGGAAAACGAGGTAGACCGCAACCAACAACAGCAGCGGAGTTCCTCTGGACAAAGATGGACAACCACTACCCACCGACAACAGTGGACATTATGTCACTGTGCCACGAGAAGAAGGCGTTAGAAAGGAACTACCTACCGATGAAAGCGAAACGTGATATATCCCGTGACAAAGCCTGATGGATCACCTTTGCCAACTGATGCCTCTGGAAACTTCGTAACCGACGAAGGCACGATAATCGAGAAAGATGAGGAAGGCCGTCCCCTTGGACCAGACGGACAATTCTTCCCACAGATGAGACAGGAACTTCATCTATCCGGTGGTGGGACCTGATGGAAGTCCATTACCACTGATGAGCAACAAACGACCTATCCATCCTGTTCTTGGCACCTGACGGATCTCCTCTCCCAACAGACGATTCGGCCATCCACTCGGAAAAGACGGTAGACCGATACCAACAGACCGCAGCGAATTCCTCTGGACAAAGATGGACAACCACTACCCACCGACAGCAGTGGACATTATGTCACTGTGCCACGAGAAGGCGTTAGCAAGGAACTACCTACCGATGAAAGCGGAAACGTGATATATCCCTGACAAAGCCTGATGGATCACCTTTGGCCAACTGATGCCTCTGGAAACTTCGTAACCGACGAAGGCACGATAATCGAGAAGAGATGAGGAAGGCCGTCCCCTTGGACCAGACGGACAAGTTCTTCCACAGATGAGACAGGGAACTTCATCTATCCGGTGGTGGGACCTGATGGAAGTCCATTACCAACTGATGAGCCACAAACGACCTATCCATCCTGTTCTTGACCTGACGGATCTCCTCTCCCAACAGACGATTCTGGCCATCCACTCGGAAAAGACGGTAGACCGATACCAACAGACCGCAGCGGAGTTCCTCTGGACAAAGATGGACAACCACTACCCCCGACAGCAGTGGACATTATGTCACTGTGCCACGAGAAGAAGGCGTTAGCAAGGAACTACCTACCGATGAAAGCGGAAACGTGATATATCCCGTGACAAAGCCGATGGATCACCTTTGCCAACTGATCCTCGGAACATTCGTAACCGACGAAGGCACGATAATCGAGAAAGATGAGGAAGGCCGTCCCCTTGGACCAGACGGACAAGTTCTTCCCACAGATGAGACAGGGAACTTCATCTATCCGGTGGTGGACCTGATGGAAGTCCATTAACCACTGATGAGCACAAACGACCTATCCATCCTGTTTCTTGGACCTGACGGATCTCCTCTCCCAACAGACGATTCTGGCCATCCACTCGAAAAGACGGTAGACCGATACCAACAGAACCGCAGCGAGTTCCTCTGGACAAAGATGGACAACCACTACCCACCGACAGCAGTGGACATTATGTCACTGTGCCACGAGAAGAAGGCGTAAGCAAGGAACTACCTACCGATGAAAGCGGAAACGGTATATATCCCGTGACAAAGCCTGATGGATCACCTTTGCCCAACTGATGCTCTGGAAACTTCGTACCGACGAAGGCACGATAATCGAGAAAGATGAGGAAGGCCGTCCCCTTGGACCAGACGGACAAGTTCTTCCACAGATGAGACAGGAACTTCATCTATCCGGTGTGGGGACCTGATGGAAGTCCATTACCAACTGATGAGCACAAAACGACCTATCCATCCGGTTCTTGACCTGACGATCTCTCTCTCACCAACAGACGATTCTGGCCATCCACTCGGAAAAGACGGTAGACCGATACCAACAGACCGCAGCGGAGTTCCTCTGGACAAAGATGGACAACCACTACCCACCGACAGCAGTGGACATTATGTCACTGTGCCCGAGAAGAAGCGTTAGCAAGGAACTACCTACCGATGAAAGCGGAAACGTGATATATCCCGTGACAAAGCCTGATGGATCACCTTTGCAAACTGATGCCTCTGGAAACTTCGTAACCGACAAAGCACGATAATCGAGAAAGATGAGGAAGGCCGTCCCCTTGGACCAGACGGACAACGTTCTTCCCACAGATGAGACAGGAACTTCATCTATCGCGGTGGGACCTGATGGAAGTCCATTACCAACTGATGAGCACAAACAACTATCCATCCGGTTCTTGGACCTTGAACGGCATCTCCTCATCCACAGACGATTCTGGACATCCACTCGGAAGAGATGGTAGACCGATACCAACAGACCGCACCGGAGTTCCTTTGGACAAGGATGGACAACCACTACCTATCGACAGCAGTGGACATTATGTCACTGTGCCACGAGGTGAAGAAGAAAGAGTTTCTGAACCTAGCAGTGCGGGTTTGCCAGAATCAACAGCTGGAGTTCAGCGTAACTGTACAGTCAAGAATTTGAAACTGGACCTTGTGTTCGCAATTAACACTAAAGACATGACTAAAACTGCGTTTTACAACATAATGCAGGCAATATCGCAGTTCGCAGACAATGTTGACCTTTCTCCTGATGTGACACGCTTCGGACTAATTTACGGAAACAAGGAAATTGTTGTTCCTTTGACACTTGGAGGATATCAAGAGAAACAGCACATGAGGGAGCAAATTCGACGTGTCGTTTTCACAGAAGATTCTTCCGATGATGATGTTTCGATATACGATCCAGTGAAACAACAGTTCGCTATGTTCCCTCGATTGGATGCCTCGAAGATCGCCATCGTAATAGGACAGCAACTTACGAGGTGTGTTTTTTCTTTCTTAAAGCACAGTTCTGTGTTTCTTTTCAAATGAATGCCGCGTTAATGAGCCCTTCAGTAGTCACATCATCAGGCTCGATTTCTCGGGCTTGCACCATACGAATCCGCTCTTTATCGCAAAGTGGTAGCATTATTGTAGACATTAGAAGGCTAAAAAATCTGCTTGCATTGATAATTTTTCCCCATAAGCCGGCCGGTCTGGTTAAGAATTTCTGATTGGCATGTTCTTTTTTATGTTGAGTTCTGCTCGAATGGAGTTGTATCTAAGGAATGGTCGAAACTCGAATGCGCCAAAATTTTCCATGTTAAAATCTGGGCCATCCCCCGCACGATATCAAGTGCACGACTGCTTCAATAAATAAGGATTTGGTAGCACCGTACCTCACGAATCCCGCCTACCATTTTGCGAACAGCTGGGAAGAATCGCAGGTGCACGAGAGTATCTACTGGAACCATTTATATGCACAAGTTTCCCTTCACAGAACTAGTACGTATGATTTTTCTTTGATGTGCTATAATATCAAAGTTGCCAACAAAGGGCAACGCTTCCCCTTGAACAGTGCGCAAGTTACATAACTTTCTCGTTTAATTTTTCGTGCCCACAGGACTACTAACATGCTCACATTCCCCTATTTTTGGAGAACTTTACGAAAGCATTTTGAGGTACCAAAAAGATTCTCTAATTTCTTCTAGTGTTTTGGAAGGGGACGGTGACCTCGTCTACCGAAAAGCTGCCATGAAGGTTACTGAAGGTTACGCCTTTTCCAATATTCCGAAAGACTCTCAATGCATATATACCATTTTCTTTTCGAATTCACGTCTTTAAATTTAAACACGAGTGTTTGAATCAAATCAGGACTTTTCGAACCAAACCCGAAACTTTGTTGAACATGCCACATTGTACATTACTGTATGCACCGCCCGGAGAGCCACGCTATATTTCAGCGTGATCATGATCTTTCAAATTTCATTCTTTAACTTCTGCTTCTGCGACAATTTCTAGTTTTGTTATTTCGCACATACACTCTGACTGAAAAAAAGGGCTGCACATTGACGCAAGGGCGACTCCGCCACTTCTTGGTGTGTAAGTTGCGGATTTTGAACTTGAAAATTTTTTTCAGCTTTCTTAACTTTATATTCTTTTTTACGCAACAAACGTACTCATAGATGTGCAGTTATGCACTGATACACTACGCCCCGCCTTGGCCACTTCTGCGTCCTTTGCGGAGATCTTTTTCGAAGTTTTTGCAGCTTTGGACTGCTATGGATTGCCCCTCCCACATCGCGAAATTCTCGCCCAAGCTCGCAAAGTAAATTGCAGGTGAGCTTCAACTAGTAAGTCACAATCTACTCGTCATTCGGAACAGACCTTGCCTGTTTTTCTCGAGTGACCAGCCACATATGATGAGTAGCGAGGTATGCAGAGCTGCCTACGGTGCGAGGGCCACCCACTGCACTCAAATGCTGTGAAGAATCTGAAAAAGAATCAAAATGCGGCAAAAGGACGCGGAAGTGGGCCTGGTTAAAGGGGCGGAGCCTAGTGTGCCAGTGCATAAATGCGCATCTATGAGTACCTTCGCTCTATCAAAAGTGAATGTGAGATTAACGAAGTGAAAAAAAAATTATGAAAACTGGGAATCTGCGACGATTCTCTAAAACAGGGCGAAGTCATCCCTGCGTTGATATACAGTCCTCCTGTCAATGTGTGTGTGTGCGAAGTAAAAAAAGTGCTAAAGTCACAGAAAGAGGAGTTATAGAATAAGGTTTGAAAAGTCATAGCAACGCTGAATTAAGTTCGTGGATGTCGGGGTCTGCCTGCAGGAGTGTCTGAAGTGACATGTTTAACGAAGTCTTGGATTCGATTCGAAAAGTCGTGTATCAGTTTGAAAAGTTGTGAATTTGAAGTAAAAATGGCATACTTGTTGGTAGTGGGTTATGCTCGCTAATATTTGACACCTTTCTGGACCTGAATAATACTTCTTTTAGCTCTGGCAAGTCGATTTCGACCTTGCAGCCAGCCAAATTCAATAGTTTGATGAGATAAATACAGTAAGCTGGAAGAAGTAGGATCGCGGTAGAAATGAATGGTAGGTGCTCGAGAAAGAAATCGCTAAAGTGAAAAAGTGAAAGGCTTAAAGTGAAACTCGCTCTCCACCACCTTCACCGATCTCCAGATGGTAGGAGGGGAATCTTTCTCATCAACGAAAAAATGATCAGATCGCTTTTCATCAATGAAGAAATGATCAGCTCGAGAGAAAAAGTTTACATACGTAACTGCTAACTTCCGTCGCGAGAAGAGCATAGTTTCGACGCTCGATGTTCAGTGAAGGTCATGTAGACCGAGCTTCGCTTAGGTTCAGCTCTCTGACCAAGCTGAATGGCGATTTTCTCACTGAACCCTTACCAGTCATTCCTACATGCGTTCTCGCGGCAATCACTTACTCATATATGTGTCATTGATGACATGGAACTTACTGGAAAGGACCTACAGATCAAATAGGCCGTTACCGCTTATAATTGTCGGCATGAGCCGACAACTTCACTGAGAAAAGCAAGGCGATGAAGCCGCGCTTGCTTGGCAAAGCTGGACCGAGTGACTGGAGGAGCGCCAGCACCACCTATTGATCCGACTCCTGTTCTAGATCAGTATCGCTTGATACTGCAAGAATCTGTGAACTTCAAACTTCTCAAAGTTATCCACTAGATGATGTTGTCCCCTGACCAGTCACAACCCTCCAGAGCCACCTCATTTCAGAATCCTGGTTACGAATATGAAACGGTGCCAGCGCTAAAATGCCGTCAAATGACGCGACTACCTTTTTTAACTAAAATAGATGATTCTTAGTTGTTAAGCTTAAGTAGGCCCCGATCACGAATACTAGATGCATTTTCAGAGGAGCTTACAACAGTTCACGCGCTCAAGTAATTCGTAGGTGCCCTTCTAAATGTAGTCTGGTCCGCGGACTTCAAGATTATCCCGCTCTCGTGGCTCCACAGTAAGTAGCGAAGGTGCTGCAGCTGTCAACAGTGGCAATTCACACGCGTCCCTAGTTATTCCGCCCACCGAAACTCAAAGACAACTCCTGCCCGAGTTCAATTTTTATTCAGTGTTTCTCGTTTTTTTTTCTCACTGGTAGAAAATATTAGCATTGAATGACGCGAAGAAACGATTAGCTAGAGGAGGCAGTATATTGCATTTGCTGGGATAAAACGAACAGGTCCGGAAAACTCATCCAGAGAAGCTGACAGGGCCTTAGTCAGTGTGTCAAGATATGTTTTTGCTTTTTTCCTTCTCTGAATGTCCTCTAGTGGCTACGGGGTTTGTTACCAAACACCATAATACCATAATAACACGGTACACATTCGCGGGGTTTGTGTTTAATGCCCCGTACCTTCTTTTTGAGATTTTTGGCAGCGTCGACTTCCCGTCGCGACTTGTTTTACCAAATTCGTATAAGATTCCGCTTTGAATACAACCCCCGCGCTCAACGGTTTCATAGACGCCCTTCGTTGTTCAAGTGGTCCGGCCCACAGTCTCTAAGCTATTCCTTTTTCGCGGCTTAACAAAAAGAACGAAGGCGCTGGCGCTCTCATCACTGGCACTTTTGATGCCTTCCTAGTTGTCCCACCCCATCAAACCACGAGGGCTATTTTCTGCCACAAATTCAGTTTTTACTTATCACTTTCGTTTTTTCCTCTAGATGGTATTAGCATCAGATGAGACGAAGAAACGATTAGTGAGCCAGAGGTGGCGGGATATGGCTTTGCTGGCAAAAAACGAGCAGGTCTGGAGAACTCGAGTGTTCTCTATGATTTTTTGTCCATTTTCTTTCCTGGAAAGTCTTTCAGTGATTTTTAATTGAACACCACCATCCAAGGATCGCGGAGTTTGTAAGGTGATCAAGAGGAAAATATGACGTCCATTCTAGCACTGGTGCTGGAAACGAATGTCATATTCTTAAATAGATCATAATATCCTTGAGTTGAACTTAAAGGCAGCGCCCGCGTTCAATTCGATGAGTTGTGGGGCTTAAAGGGCTCAAACAGTGACAACCAAGTAGCATGCAGTTCATTAATAAGTAACTTGCAAAAAAATCATCGGACATGCCTTATACAGGACCCCATGTTGAGCTGAAGTGTACGTGCTCAAGGCGAAGAGAAAGTGCGGTTGCACGAGTTCTCTCTTGTTGATATCAGCTGTTTTCTCTTATCACCTCATTCTCACCATTCGACGTGGAGAGAAGCAGCAATGAACAACCGCACCATCAGGCAACCATTAGAGATGAAGTTGGGCGTGGTGGTCGCCAGGTAGGCGGGGTGGCAGACTCTTCATGAGCGGGCGCCGCTATTCTCTCGCATTTTTGAGTGGCGAAACTAGCACTTCCACCATACTCATAGAGTGAGCTACGATATACAAAGAGAGCGTGGAAACAACAAATGATACGGGCGCTGCCTTTAAGGCTGTGTTCAGACTTCGCGCTGACGTGTTACTACCGTGATAGCCTTCAATGCCATAGACGGATGGAGTCAGGCGAGCGACCCCTACTTGACATCAATCCACCTCTTTCCCGATCCTTGGACCGTTCTGGGAACGATTAGTGAATTCCGCCGTGAACACCCCTGCACACACCCTTCCAGTGTGGATGTTTTTCTTCCTTTTCATCCGATGACGCCTTTCCTACTTTGAGTCACTTACCCTTGGTTCCAGGAGTGCATCGGAACCGTATCAGAGATTTTTGAATGAAGTACCTTATGCTTGAGGGCACGCAACACCCACTGTGAGCGGGTCTTAGCATGCACAACTCCTAGTGATTTCCATATTGCCACGACACCGACATGTGAATTCTTTAAGTGCCACTCAATAAAAGCAGGCGCCGTCCATTACGGATGTGTCTGGCTTATTCATCTTTTTACTCATTTTTAACTTCATCTCCTTTTTCGACACACCGGGCTCCCCTTTAATCGAACTGTGAATTTTTTCCTGTTGCCACCAGGGTCAAGCATCACGTCGTAGAAAAATGAGGGGGGGGGGCGCGGTTGATGGGACCACCCACTTGGAAAAAACGTGTCCGAACGACCACCCTTGGTGACTGTGGAGTATATGGAGGTATGTGCTCGAATTATTGGGATGCAGCGCACATGTTGTGTGTGTGTTTATGGGACTTTCACCGAATAAGTGTCTGAGTATTTGTAAACTTAAACCAGACCAATGGAACAAAAGCACTGAAAACTCAAGAGATCACTTTCTCGGAAGTAGTGTGATTCACAATGTGAAATTTCGTGAAAACCTCACAATTACGCCCTCCAAGTGAAACACACGAAGCAGAGACATTGAGCTGATACCGCGGCTGCGTCGCGTATTAAATGCTACTGGCCCGCTGTGCATTCAAACAATATTTCGAAATGTGTAACTTCATTGGGAAACCATTCTTTCGCAAAGCGATTATAACGATTCATGTTTACTGGGCAGGCTCTAATCAGAATACATCACACTTTTTATCAAGCTTGCATAGCGGCTTCTGGCCAGAAAATAACACGAGAACTTTTGGCGAACGGCTATTTTTTTTACCTTTCAGTGGATGCAACTTTGTTTTAGACATAACGTAGGACACGAGGCAATGAAACTAGAAGGTTCCCTTTTTCTAAAAAGCACTATGACGTTGTGCATATGTAGCTCAAATATAGCACGAATTCTCACATCGCGGATAACGACAAAAACCATGCGGCGGGACTTTTGGCGGACATGCGAGCTCTTTCAGCTTTCAAAGGCCATTTTTTCGTTCAGGCAGATGCACAGGGCGCTGATCAACACCTCTTGTGTCCAGTACTACCTGCATAGACGACCCCCTGCCCGTGCGTGGGAGGGCCGAATACAAACTCGTCGCGGATTCCACCCCTCTCCGACCGCCGCCGCCATTATGGGCGTGGCTCAGCGTAGATCATGTGTTTCCCTACATGCCGACCATAACGGACTGATTCCATACCTGGTTCGGACCCTTCAAGCGGCTCTTCAGCTAATACAGAAATGTAGAATAAACGAACGTAACAAATTTATACACAGTAGGAAAGGCGATCGCCTCAAAATCTAGAAGTTAATGATGCGAGAATATGAACTCTTGATATGACTGTAAGGGTAGGAGGGATCGAGGGAGATGGGTATACCGGTTCTAAAATATGTGAGTCACTTGTACCCAAACTCTCATTGCACAGCCTGACAAAAAAATTATTCTTACCTTACTGGCAACGATATCCTATCGACCGATGCTGCGGCAAAATGTCATGACCGTGGTTACTGCTGTGTAAGAATTTCTTAGGTATCTGCAGTAATGTCTGCTGTGGACGAAGGGGCGTGATAGGCTATGAGATAGTTAGACGTAAAACACATTCTCTACCAAATGTCAAGGCGGGTAAGCGACAGCGTTTGGTGGAGAACCACTGATACGAACACTATGATGTAGTCTTGTCGCTTGCTCGCTTCAATAGGAGGTGGAAGGCGGGTTTGGCGCCGCGCGAATCCCGCCTGATACGCCCTTCATCCACGGCTAGCAAATGTGTCTCGTCTTTTGAACCATTTCCTTTCAATTCGGACACTTCTCAAACTGAACTGAAGCTTGTCAAATCTCGGACACCCCTCTACAACGGGCACTTCATTAACTGGACCACACTAGGTTCTGCTACGAGCCCCGTTTCAACCCCCCCCCACACTTTTGAGCACGGTCATGGTTTTCCAAAACTCAATTCGCGAATGGTTCTTCTATGACTTTTTTGACTTCTGCTGTTTCGCACATGTACACTGATTGAAAAGGAGTGTACATCGACTCATGGCCGACCCACCCACACTTTAAAAAATTGCTGCAAAGTTTTCGTAACTTGCAGGATTTCCATAACCTCTTCAACTTCGACAATCTCTCATAACCTCTTCACAGAATGACAGATCTCACAGATGCGCATTTCACCTGCACAATTTTTGCAGAATTCTGATCCATTTTTAAAATGCTCTCATTTTCACTACTCCCGGTTGCCTCGCCCACTATGAGAAGACCCGCCCGCTCCACAGAAACCCCGCACTTTTTTCAACAATGATCCAAATCGGCAGGCTTACGAGTCCTAACATGCCGATTATGGTCTCGCTTATCACTAGGGAGAAATTTTCCTGGTTTTTTGTGCAGTGCGCAGAGAGACTCTGGCCTGCTTTTGAGACTTCAGCCTGCCGATATGGATCATTTGTAAAAGGGTGGGCGGCGCTTCTGCGAAGTGGAAGGGGCTGCCAGTAATGGACGGAGCTATTTGTTACATCCTAAGTAAGCGGAAGTTTCGAAGAAAATATGAAAATTACGCAAAAAAAAATGTAGACGAGGGTGTGGTCGAAACACGGGAGGAGCAGAGTGTCAGTGTCTCGATAGAAATCCATGTGCATCCGCTTCGCGAATAACGAAAGTGGGAAGATCAAGGTCGAAAAAGAGTTACAATAATTCAAATTACAATAACTTCCTCGAAAAGCGACTAAAGCCGTATCAGTGTCTGGTCAATCCTTTCCAGTTATGTATGTGCGAAACAGCAAAAGTGCAGAAAAGTAACAGGAGCAGAATCTACTAAATGAATTTCGGAAAACCAGTGCGCTGAAAGTGTGCGGGGTGTTGGAACAGAGCCTGCAGCAGTATTTAGTGTAGCTAAGATTAAGAACTACCCGATTCAATGTATGGGTTAGATTTGCTTTGAAAGCATTTGATTTGGACTAAAAATGGTATATGTTAATTCGGCAATGAGATTGCATGATTTGGGTACCACTCAATGACGCAATTACAGCACTACAGCTCTCTAAAACTTTTCCTTTTTTAAACGTTGTTGTGGACACCATATCAAGGGGTGTATGAGTGAAACACAAGTGAGCACAGTTCAACAGTTCAGCAATGTAATGTTTGAGTCACTTACCAGCTTCTGCTAAACCATTAGAATGTCTCCTCTCAAGCCAACATGGTGATTATGTTTAACAACACGATTTTAGAGTTGAAGAAACTGATTTCCAAAATAAAAAAATAAAAAAAATGCGTCAGAGAACGTGTAGGTCGTGAGAATGTTAAGTAGAGGTTGTCACACTTTTTATTTTACCTTTCGTGGTGCATGCCTTTACTGGCATTGAGTAATTTCAAGTGCGCAACTTATCCCACAACCACCACGATAACCTAAAACTAGCGAACCAACAATGATCAAGACTTATAACATGCGCACTTTTTTTTATTCCCGATATCACTGCTGCCTACTTCTCTTCCATATTTTCCATCATCGATCAAGCTGTTTTCAGAAGAAGGTTCGTCCTGTTCTGGACAATTGAGCGACAGATTTACTTATTCGTGATACACTGTATAGCACCGTGGGGCTGCAATCCTTTACGTAGACGCTACCGGCAGGGTTCAACAACAGGACTTGTTAGTAGATGACCTATAAAGATGTATCGCATTGAATAACACGACATCGTATGTCGTATCCTAGGACGTCAATGACGAGGAGATCGCGGCCTAGGAACTGAGCCCTTCACATAAAATTCCGTCCATTTATTTCATTTACAATGGCAATGATGTATCTTTGTTATTTCGTCTGCGCTTATTCCCAGACCCTCATGTAGCTGCGAAGAGAAGATGCCATGTGGGGGTGCACATGGCAACGCGTTGCGCATCACAATGCGGGAAGACTAAGACTAATATTCGCATTAGACGAAGTAAGAAAAAACATTACAAGCGCGACACACTTTCATGAAAATGCAGGAAAAAACAAACAAGTAAAGGACGTCATGACTTTTCATGAAAGAGGCCCAACCTAATACAAACCTAATTTTGTTGAATGGCGTATCCGTTACCTCGTATTAGTGCGTATCCACCATAAAATATCTATTTGCAGGATTCCGGAAGATACAAATGGTATTGCGCACCTCTACATCTCACCGAAGAAGCTACAGGATAAGCGCTCCAAACAACTAGAACTGGATAAAGTTCACGGCAGTACTTTTAATCAAATGATACAGCAGCACTGCAAGCGATCACCGACACAGCTACCTTTAGTTTCACAAATGACTCTAGAAGAGCACCCAAAAGCAGATAGCGAGTCAGAGCAAGCATCCAAAGCCATGGGGCCCGATGGACAAGTGCTTCCCACAGACGAATCAGGATATTACATCCATCCAGTTGTTGGTCCTGATGGAAGCCCGCTTCCCACAGATATGCATAAACGACCGATCTATCCCATCGTTGGAAAGGATGGAAGCCCACTGCCAACAGACAATTCTGGAGCTTACATCAGCCCAGATGGACGACCTATCCCAACTGACTCAAGCGGAAAACCTCTAGGTGACGATGGGTCCCCGCTCCCAACAGACGCATCGGGCAACTATGTGATTGCTCCAATTGAAGAAGCTGTCAGCAAGGAATTGCCGACAGATGAAAGCGGAAATGTTATCTATCCTATCATCATCCAGATGATCACCGTTGCCTACCGACATATCGGGTAACTACGTCACTGATGAGGGCATTATCATCGAGAAAGATGACGAAGGAAGACCAGCTTGGACAGATGGACAAGTGCTTCCCGCAGACGAATCTGGATACTACATCTATCAGTTGTGGTCCTGATGGAAGCTCTTCCACAGACATGCACAAGCGTCAATTTACCCAGTTACTGAAAAGACGGAAAACCACTACCGACAGACGATTCTGGAGCTTACATGGTCCGGATGGACGACCAATAAACCGATTCCAGCGAAAGCCTCTGGGAAAGATGGCTCCCACTTCCAACGGATGCATCGGGAACTAATATACGGTTCCCTCGAAGACGCTGTCGGCAAGCAAGGCAACAGATGAAAACGGAAATGTTATCTATCCTGTCACCATGCCGGATGGATCACGGTTGCCTACCGACATATCGGTACTACGTCACTGATGAGGGCACTAATCATCGAGAAAGATGACGAAGGAAGACCGCTCGACCAGATGGACAAGTGCTTCCCACAGACGAATATCGGATACTAAATCTTATCGGTTGTGGGTCCTGATGGAAGCCCTCTTCACAGACATGCACAAGCGTCCAATTTACCCAGTTGTTGGAAAAGACGGAACACACTACCGACAGACATTCTGGAGCTTACATTGTCCGGATGGACGACAATACCAACGATTCCAGCGGAAAGCCTCTGGGAAAGATGGCTCTCCACTTCCAACGGAATTCACGGGCAACTAAGTTACGGTCCCTCGAAACGCTGTCGCAAGCAACTGCAACAGATGAAAGCGGAAATGTTATCTATCCTGTCACCATGCCGGATGGATTAACCGTTTGCCTACCGAATATCGGGTAACTACGTCAACTGATGAGGGTACTATCAGCGAGAAGATGACGAAGGAAGACCGCTCGACCAGATGGACCGTGCTTCCACAGACGAATCTGGATACTACACTATCCAATTGTGGTCCTGATGGAGCCCTCTTCACAGACCACAAACGTCAATTTACCCAGTTGTTGAAAAGAAGAACACACTACGCACAGACGATTCTGGAGCTTACATCGTCAGATGGACGGCCAATAACCAACCGATTCGCAGTGAAAGCCCTGGAGAAGATGGTTCTCCACTTCCAACGGATGCATCGGGCAACTATATTACGGTTCCCCTCGAAACGCTGTCACAGCCAAGCACTGCCCACAATGAAGCGGTAATGTGATATATCCAATCACAAAACCCGACGGCTCACCGTTACCAACAGATACATCTGGGCGCTACGTTACTGATGAGGGTACTATTATCGAGAAGGACAGAAGTGGAAGACCACTGGGACCTGATGGACAAGTACTTCCTACCGATGAATCAGGCTACTACATTTACCCTGCTGTTGGTCCTGATGGAAGCCCGCTTCCCACAGATATGCATAAACGACCGATCTATCCCATCGTTGGAAAGGATGGAAGCCCACTGCCAACAGACAATTCTGGAGCTTACATCAGCCCAGATGGACGACCTATCCCAACTGACTCAAGCGGAAAACCTCTAGGTGACGATGGGTCCCCGCTCCCAACAGACGCATCGGGCAACTATGTGATTGCTCCAATTGAAGAAGCTGTCAGCAAGGAATTGCCGACAGATGAAAGCGGAAATGTTATCTATCCTATCACCATGCCGGATGGATCACCGTTGCCTACCGACATATCGGGTAACTACGTCACTGATGAGGGCACTATCATCGAGAAAGATGACGAAGGAAGACCGCTTGGACCAGATGGACAAGTGCTTCCCACAGACGAATCTGGATACTACATCTATCCAGTTGTGGGTCCTGATGGAAGCCCTCTTCCCACAGACATGCACAAGCGTCCAATTTACCCAGTTACTGGAAAAGACGGAACACCACTACCGACAGACGATTCTGGAGCTTACATCGGTCCAGATGGACGACCAATACCAACCGATTCCAGCGGAAAGCCTCTGGGAGAAGATGGTTCTCCACTTCCAACGGATGCATCGGGCAACTATGTCACAGTTCCCCGCTCGAAGACGAAGCTGTCGGCAAGCATGCCACAGATGAAAACGGAAATGTTATCTATCTCTGTCACCATGCGGATGGATCACCGTTGCCTACGCGACATATGCGGTAACTACGTCACTGATGAGGGCACTATCATCGAGAAAGATGACGAGGAAGACGCGACCAGATGGACAAGTGCTTCCCACAGACGAATCTGGAATACTACATCTATCCAGTTGTGGTCCTGATGGAAGCCCTCTTCCCACAGGACATGCACAAGCGTCCAATTTTACCCAGTTACTGGAAAAGACGGAAAACCACTACGACAGACGATTCTGGATGCTTACATTCGGTCCGGATGGACGACCAATACCAACCGATTCCCAGCGGAAAGCCTCTGGGAAAGATGGCTCTCCACTCCATCCACGGATGCATCGGGCAACTATATTACGGTTCCCCTCGAAGACTGTCGGCATAGCAACTGCCAACAGATGAAAGCGGAAATGTTATCTATCCTGTCACCATGCCCGGATGGATCACCGTTGCGCTACCGACATATCGGGTACATACGTCACTGATGAGGGCACTATCATCGAGAAAGATGACGAAGGAAGACCGCTCGGACCAGATGGACAAGTGCTTCCCACAGACGAATCTGGATACACATCTATCCAGTTGTGGGTCCTGGATGGAAGCCCTCTTCCCACAGACATGCACAAGCGTCCAATTTACCCAGTTGCTGGAAAAGACGGAAAACCACTACCGACAGACGATTCTGGAGCTTACATCGGTCCAGATGGACGACCAAATACCAACCGATCCAGCGGAAAGCCTCTGGAGAAGATGGTTCTCCACTTCCAACGGATGCACGGGCAACTATGTCACAGTTCCCCTCGAAGACGCTGTCAGCAAGCAACTGCCAACAGATGAAAGCGGTAATGTGATATATCCAATCACAAAACCCGACGGCTCACCGTAACCAACAGATACATCTGGGCGCTACGTTACTGATGGAGGTACTATTATCGAGAAGGACAGAAGTGGAAAAGACCACGTGGACCTGATGGACAAGTACTTTCCTACCGATGAATCAGGCTACTACATTTACCCTGCTGTTGGCCTGATGGAAGCCCGCTTCCCACAGATATGCATAAACGACCGATCTATCCCATCGTTGGAAAGGATGGAAGCCCACTGCCAACAGACAATTCTGGAGCTTACATCAGCCCAGATGGACGAACTATCCCAACTGACTCAAGCGGAAAACCTCTAGGTGACGATGGGTCCCCGCTCCAAACAGACGCATCGGGCAACTATGTGATTGCTCCAATTGAAGAAGCTGTCAGCAAGGAATGCCGACAGATGAAAGCGGAAATGTTATCTATCCTATCACCATGCCGGATGGATCACCGTTGCCTAACCGACATATCGGGTAACTACGTCACTGATGAGGGCACTATCATCGAGAAAGATGACGAAGGAAGACCGCTTGGACCAGATGGACAAGTGCTTCCCACAGACGAATCTGGATACTACATCTATCCAGTTGTGGGTCCTGATGGAAGCCCTCTCCCACAGACATGCACAAGCGTCCAATTTACCCAGTTACTGAAAAGACGGAAAACCACTACCGACAGACGATTCTGGAGCTTACATTGGTCCGGATGGACGACCAATACCAACCGATTCCAGCGGAAAGCCTCTGGGGAAAGATGCCCTCTCCACTCCAACGGATGCATGCGGGCAACTATATTTACGGTTCCCCTCGAAGACGCTGTCGGCAAGCAACTGCCAACAGATGAAAGCGGAAATGTTATCTATCCTGTCACCATGCCGGATGGATCACCGTTGCCAACCGACATATCGGGTAACTACGTCACTGATGAGGCACTATCATCGGAGAAAGATGACGAAGGAAGACCGCTTCGACCAGATGGACAAGTGCTTCCCACAGACGAATCTGGATACTACATCTATCCAGTTTGTGGTCCTGATGGAAGCCCTCTTCCCACAGACATGCACAAGCGTCCAATTTACCCAGTTGTTGGAAAAGACGGAACACCACTACCGACAGACGATTCTGGAGCTTACATCGGTCCAGATGGACGACCAATACCAACGATTCCAGCGGAAACCTCTGGGAGAAGATGCTCTCCACTTCCAACGGATGCATTGGCGTGCAACCTCATGTCACAGTTCCCCTCGAAGACGCTGTCAGCAAGCAACTGCCAACAGATGAAAGCGGAAATGTGATATACCCAATCACAAAACCCGACGGCTCACCGTTACCAACAGACACATCTGGCCGGTACATTACTGATGAGGGTAGTATAATTGAGAAAGACGATGATGGAAAACCACTGGGGCCTGATGGACAAGTACTTCCTACCGATGAATCAGGGTACTATATTTACCCTGCCATTGGTCCTGATGGTAGCCCCATTCCCACAGATATGCACAAACGTCCAATTTATACTGTAATTGGGAAAGACGGAAGCCCACTGCCGACAGATGACAACGCAGCTTACATTAGAGAGGATGGAAAAGCTATTCCAACTGATTCAAGCGGGAAACCACTCGGAGAAGACGGTTCACCACTGCCTACCAATGTTTACGGTAACTACGTCGTTGAACCCCTTGAAGAAGCCATTAGCAAGGGTTTCCCAACAGATGAAAGTGGAAAAGTGATATATCCCGTCACAAGACCAGATGGACTCCCGGATACTGCTGTGAGAGAAGGAGCTACTGTTCCTACCCTTGCTAGCGGAAGACCTGTTCCATATGTTGCTGTTAGTGAAGATGGTAGACCTCTTCCCACAGATCAGTATGGCAGTGCAATGGGAGAAGACGGCTCCCCTCTGCCCACAGATGACACGGGACGTCCACTAGACCATACCAACAAGCCATTCCCCACAAACACCTACGGTGAATACGTGGTACCTCCATTCAGAAGACAATCTGCCCACTGTCTTGTTTCGTCTCACATAGAACTGATAGTTGTTCTCGACACATCCAATACTGTCAAGGTCCTGGACTATCGTGTAATGAAGGAACTTCTCAAAAGCTTTTTGTCTGATCATTTCGACTTGAACAGAAACAAAGTTCGAGTTGCCGTTGTGAAATACGGAGAAACTGCCGAGGTGCCCGTTTCGCTCGGTGACTACGACCACGTGGATGATCTCCTGCATAGGATAAGTGAAGCGAAGCGTGTGAAGGGAAAGCCATTGTTAGGATCAGCACTCAAGGAAGCTGCTGGAGAAATTCTTATTTCTGGAACAGATGAAGTGCCAAAATTCGTGCTACTCTTCAAGAACGGTGTCTCTTCGTGAGTCTTTCATTTCTCAATATCATAGAAAAGTTAGTACAAGTCAAAAGATATTGAATATCTCCCAGGTCAGCAGTCTGCAGATTTGGCTCGCAGTTTCATCTAAGCATCAAGTGTGAAAACACTATCTTAAGCAGTCGGTTATTTCCGAGATGATCGTGAAGATTTTGAGCTTCTTTGCATGCTGTGTGTTCTTGGACCATACCGCTCTCCTCATACACCGCTAGAGACTAAACTGTTGAAAAAACTGTGCGGATTAGGATCAGACTGCCTTTAAGAAGTTCCGAGGAGGAACCTAATGAGCTAATCAGTAGACTGGCCTAAGCTCTACTCTGCGCACCTTATGTGTTGCCACGGAATACGGAATCGATATACTGCGTCCATACCTTGGGGCAACTTCCAGCAGCGCCTCGAGCATCCGTCAGCTAGCGACTAGGAAAGTATAGATATCGATCTAATGAACGGTAGCGTCCATCAGCGTCTACCAGCGCCCACCAGCGACTAGGAAAGTAGATATCGATCTAACGAGCGTCACCATCCACCAGCGGCCAGGAGTGGAGAGTATGAAGAAGTAGGTTAGCATACTGCTGGTAGAGTATGGGGAAGTAGGACGGAGCAGACAGCTGGATTAGGCGTGCGCGTCCACACCGTACTACTGCACAATAGCTTACATTAAATTGCATAATTCTGTGCTTATGCAGTTACACGGTGCAGTTGCACATCTCCCAATTTCACGGCGCCTAAGCCAAGCGTCTCCTACTTCCAAATACTCACTCCTGGACGCTGGCGTCCGCTGAACCGATATCCAAACTTTCCTAGCCGCTGGTAGACGCTGATGGACGCGGCCATTCACTAAATCGACATCTATGCTTTCCTGGTTGCTGCTGGTGGATGATACCACAGAGTATGAAGACATCCTAATGAAATCTTCAATTCTGAACACAGTCTGCTCTCGAGACTTTCGATCTGAGAACATTTGGCTGCTTACGAAAATGCCAACAACCTTGGAGATTTCGGTTATTCACCCTGTTTTCTGGAGTGTAGGGCGCAACTCGCGGAGTCGCAGGCGCGCGATCCTACTGTACATAAACGGCAACGTCTTTCTGTCTGTCTGTCTATCTGTCTGTCTGCCTGTCTGTTTGTTTGTTTGTTTGTTTGTCTGTTTGTCCGGAAATTCGGAATCACCTGAAGAGCCATTTGGAGGGAGCGGGTCAAGGGTAGGTTGGGTAGGGCATGAGCCAAGATGTACGGAACACACGTGAACCAAGCTAGGCCCCGTCCACTGTGGGCGGGGCGTGCGCACAGTTGTAAGCTACATATTTCGAAGATTCAGTTCGGTTCCAAAAGAGCCCCGAGAGGAAAAAGCGGCAAACGATAAGCAATCCATGGGCGGACAAAATGGGTGAGACAAACCTATACTGGGCGGGGCGTTCTATAGATGGGCGGTGCTTGCTACGAGACACTCAAAAATCCGCAGTTCGGTTCTAAAAGAGCCCCGAGAGTGGAAAAAGTGGCAAACGATAGGCAATCCGTTGGCGGACGAAAATAATAAAGCACACCCCTGATGGGCGGGGCTTTTGCCGAAGTGAAGGTGCCGAGGACAAAAACCCTCAAAAGGCACTCGAAAAACCCTACGAAATGTGGAGTAAGGTGAAATTGAGGAATGGCTTGGCAGATGAAGTTAGTGAGGGATAACCATAGGGAGTATACCAAAGTGAAAGTAAATAAGTTTTTAGTATATGTACCGCCGGCAATAGTTCGTAATTCGGTTCCCAAACACACAACTGTGGCATAATCGCAGTGAATGGGGTATGTTAGTGAATGGGAGTCAAAATAAAGGGTTCGTAAATCAGCATGTTTATTTATTTGTTTGTTTGCCTACCATTTATGAAAAACATTCATGAAAATCTTCCCACCGGGACCCACTTCACACGCATGAGGATCGGCCGACTTCGCCCGATCCTCCTTCTGCGATCCGATCCGACTGGTAGTTGATAAGCCAGCAACGGTTCTAATGCCTTTTTTTTCATAATTTAGTTTTTTCAGTTGGTTTTCAAACATCTCTTTCTATATAATCATTGATATGAAGAAGAACCAACAAAAAACTCGCAAAAGTAAGTTCAGGAAGAAAAATGGGTCCTAAGTGAAGTTGCACCCTGTACGTATGTACTTGGATGGATGCTCCCTATACTCCACAAAGTGGTGTAATTCGATTGTTTTGCAGTTTGATTGAACAAAGCTACCATATATTTGCTGAAGAAACGAGCATAGTTTAAATAGCGTATTAGGAGAACGGGACCCGAACGAATTGAAGATTGTATGCGATTAAAGAGTGAGGAGCAACGAAAGAATGCGACATTTCCCAAAATTGCAAACTATTCATTAGCTGGGTACTATTGTAGTTCAGTATAGGGAGCATTTTGATGCAGCACACCCAAGGCACTTGAAACCGCAACAGAAATTTTTTTTCATTTTTTTGACATAGGTAAAACGCCCATCCCCTATCTCCCACTTGTCTCTTCACGCCCTTTAGCACTGATGATAGGTTATCAAAAGAATGCTTAGTTGAGGGAAAAGTCGTGCCCCACGCGGGAGTCGAACCCGCACCTCACGCTTCCCGGGCGAGTGCGCTATCCGTTACCCCACCAGGGCCGCTTTTACCCAGCTTGACGGCTTATGCCGTAACCTTACAGCACTCACGCGTTTCACTTGGTGACTTGTTTGCCCACAATTCAGCATCCTTGTGATAACATTCGGAACGCGTACTGCGGCGTTAAACAGCAGCTATCATAACAAAACTGATGACAGGCGCCAGCAAATACCGTCTAACACATAAAACGAACAGCAAAGAAATGGCGCTAAATCCAAGCTCCAAGTGTACGCATAAGGACTGCTCGTGAAAAATGACGAGTACCGTAGTCCGACGCACTAGTGCACAGAATGCCCCGCCATAGTACGCGAGCAGCATTTGCCAACCTAGTGGCATCATTTCCACACATCCGTTGCTGCAAACTTAACTCCGCTGGTATGAAACCGCGTTGATATGTTGCGCTCTTGTGTTGCATGTTGGAAATGGCGGCGATTTAGGTTCGCTAAGCGTATGTTGCGGCAGTGGGGGAGGGAGGGCCACGCGGCGCACTTGGGCGAGCGATGCCACGCTCGTCTTCCTGCCCCTACTCGCACAAATAGAGATAATCCCTTGTATAGGACTAAGGCATAAACGCCGCCTCTGAGGTGCTATATTTCAAAAGGTAAAAGATTAATGTTCGAAAACGTGCCGAAGAAGCAAATGTCCGGCGGGGGTAAGAATCTCTGTCCTAAATACAGGGAATGAGTTTCGGGCCTAGGTGACTTCATATCGCATGCGAAAAAGTGACAGCGATTTTAACGATGTACATTAGATCAGTAGTTCACTATCAAATCGCAGAAATTGAATTTGAGCGGTTTCCTCACAGAACCACAATTTCACCTCGCCAATTCACTTCACTTTGCTACACGAAGTCCATTTGTTTTCCGCCTCTGTATGATTTCTCAACAAGTTCCCGGTGAATCTTGTTTGTTCTATTCTAAATAGCAGCTAGATACGCGCTTCAAGTATGCCGGCGACCATATGTGGGCTGTTTTGAACATCGTCTCGCCGAGCAAGAAGCGGAAGAGCAGATGAGTCATCGCTCGCCGCGCGCCGCGTGGTCCCCCCCCCCAAATACGTTAGCACCACGATTTATGTCTCATCACTCATCACTAGAATCCCATGCTTTTCAAGTATTGTAAGTATTTCTATTAAAACAATTTGGCTCTGACGGTTTGAGGGAGGGGGTGTCACGAGGCTGGCAATGTTTCTTCTGTTCTAATGTTCCTTCCAGTATTCGAAGCAGCTCATAAAAGGTTCCCGGTATACTTTAAGTGGAGAAAGATCAGTTTCTGAATGAAAGACAAAATGCATACACCGCGGAAGTTTGTCGAAAGGCATGACTTTTGCAGCCAAATTTTTGTCTGTCAAATTTGGCAGGAAGCTGTCCTGGAACCCCTAGATTCCGGGCATCCAAGACATTCGAAAGTCTATTTTTACACAAGAGAGTAGGTTTGCCCACCTCAGTATTTCTTCCTTCCCGGGCTTGGGCATGGATCTTCATCCACTCCTTGACAAGTGCTTTTTCGCCCATTTGCAGCTGTCATTCAACACGTACCTAAATCATTTCCGCAAATTTGTGCGGCTTTACTGGATGAATAACTAAGAAATGTACGCACGTTCATACTCAGCGCCCTAGAGAATCGGCGAAACGCACCTGTCGCTCGACGTACTATTGCACAAAATGACTTGTCTGCGGAAAGCACGACATGCTGCGCCCTTTAGTCGACTCGTTGCTTCTGACTGCTACGTATGTCTTCCTTCTTGACCCTAACGTATTTGGAAGTGGGAGAACTGCCCCCCTCCTAGTCGAGATAGTGTTCGAAACAACCCATAAAGTTTGCAGCATATTTTAAGCGGGAAATGGATCAGTCTCGAATAGAAAGTGGAGGTGCATATACCCAGCGGAAAATTTCTCGATAAGCACGGCTTTTGCTGCTAATCTTCTGCCTGTCTGTTCTGGCAGGGTGCTATTGAAGTAACGAGGGGAAGACTTGTAGATTCCGCGGAGCATGCAAGGCATTCGAAAATATTATTTTTCATGATGGAATGGGTTCATTACCCCGAAAGTCCCTTTCCCCCTAGACATAGCTGAAAATCCTCATCTACTAATTTTTCGCACTTTCTAGCTTCGAGTACCTAGCCTTATTGGACTACCTCCCTATGAAGATGTTAAATTCTGCTTGACCCCTGAAACCCCTGCGGTTGTCCCGCTGCTGCTTCTCTCCACGTCGAGTGATGAGAGTGAGGTGAAAGGGAAAACAACTGATACCAACAAGTGAGAACTCCTGCAGCCGCTCCTTCTCTTCGACTTAAAGACAACGCCCGCGATGGACTTTGGCAGGTTTTAGGGGGTAAGATTTGTTAGAAGAGGTGGCAAAGAAGCATTAATCAAAGAAGTAGAAAAAAGCTGTGCAAGAACATGAAATAGGACCCCATTCGATTTAGGGCAACTGGACGAGTTTCGCAGATTTTGAGTGAGTTCTCCAAAACAGTCGCCGCCACGTTGCGGCTAATTCTCATGAGCCCACTACCTAGATTATCTTATCTAATCTAATTAATCCACGCTGGCATTGATAATCGATCTGTCTATGAGCTAATCTGTCTATCAGTGTACGAGACGAACGCTAGAAATTTAGCGATTATCAAAGCCAGCAAGGATTGACAACTGTTAACCAGTCGGGCGGGATTAACAAGGCAGGCGGGGTCAGCTTAGCATTGTTGATCCCGCCTTCGTCAATCAATCGATTTCGAGTCCCAGGAGTGGGCTATCCTCTATGGTTGCGGACTCCGCGTCCTTGTGCAGTACAGGGTTTTTTTCACCTTGGTTGATCGCGGACGCTGCCTTCAAGCGCGTTCAACTGCAATTCAGCACGAGGTTCTTTACGGGGCATTTCGCAAGATTTCGTTCTGATTTTTCTTCACAATGGGTTACTTGCTACAATCCTTATCGTTACGTGTCGTCGGGGCGTGTCAGTGCGGCTTCGTTTGGCGCGGTACCGAAGTCGTTCTGCACCAATTGTCGACTTCGTGTTACTCGTTTTCTACCACTTTTTGTCGCATACGCGTTTCAACAAAAAGGCTGAGAACGGCTTCAACAGTAATTGCACTCCTACTGGCTGACACGCCCCGACAGTCCATAAAGATGGGGACAGTACCTTGCTATTGCTGTCTGAGCCGCATAGTCATCAGATTTGAACGCGGGCTCTGCCTTTTATGATAGAAAAGGAAGCGCTGTGGGAAGTCTCGAGAGTAATGTTATATACAGCCCGGTGACCTGCAGTGAAACCCCTACCGGGGCTATCGATCTGGGGAGTGAAGATAGTGAGGTTCTACCGAGCGCCAAATGTGGTTGAGGGAAACACATGGCGTCATAATATAACCGCCCATGTCAGCTTGTTTGTATTCCATCAGCAGACAAACATAAGCAAATTGGCGTAATATACGCCTTTCTAACAACCTTCAGAAAGAAGGTGGACCTTTTGCTTAATAACCCGTCTTTCTTATCAGCCTGCCTTAGGAACGTTTTACTCTATGAGTTCGCTGCGGTTGAGAGGGCGTGTCCGGCAGGGCACAGCATTCGATGTGGGGATTTGTGGTCGAGGCCGTACGACCCCCCCTTTTTTTGGTTTGGTTTTTTTTCAAACAAAAAACACCAAGCTTTCAGGACTGAACACTGACAAGTACCCAGGAGCTAGCCGTTCATTAACTTTTCCTAGTTTTCAGTGAGCGTTCAGGAATAGCTTCGAGTGTTATTTATTGTTCCCAATACGTGAATCTGAAATAAATCAAGAGGAAATACCCACAACAACCAAAGCATATTTACTGACGCTCAGTAAAGACTAGGAAAACTTATGAGGCGCAAAGGAAGGAACAAAGACCGAGCCAAAAAAACAAACAGGCAACATAAACAGTGAAACGAAAATAAATGGCATGTTGCTATATCAAACTCGAAGATCTGGCCAACGGATTTGTAAAACAAATGGAAATCGCAGTTGTTTGTGCGCAGGACCCCAGTGCACTTTGATTTTGAGGGGCAGCAATTTCCTGCAGAAATCGTACGGTAGCAGAAGTTGGGTATGAATTGCAGCTTTGACTGGAGCAATACGCTATTAGCGCATGGAGCGAGAATTTCAAGCAATCGTAGGTGTCTTTGAAGGTACGCATAACTTCCTCAAAGCGGACCTGTGGGGAAGAGGAGAACGTAATTGGTAAATTAGAAGGTTTGATCTTCGTACTATAAATGTCATGAAGGTTCGCGAAAAATCACCAGAAGAAAGCTGCCATAGGGGTTGCGTTAGGGAGTGAAGGGTTGAAGTCAAGTTGAACAGGTTTGAATCAATATATTTTTTTTGTAACTCAACATTTCACAAATCTGAGAAACAGGATCACGAGCTTCTCAAGATTTTCTCTTTCTAAAACCTATTGAACCTGTCCCTGAAGCTCTTCGGATTCAATGAAAGATCTCGCGATGGGCGATTTCTTAGGAGCACTCCCAGCCGCGCGAAAAAACCCGTTTCCTTTGTGCACCCGTTTCAAGTGAGCGTGTTCGCAATAGCCAGGGGACGCATAGTAGAACGGTATCCTGTGGGAGCAGGAGCAGGATAATGGTTCGTTTAGCGCCGAAAACGCCGACTTTGTGTATGCCGCCGCGCACTGAGGTCCGCGCAGAGGTGAAGGGATGGTACAACTTGTGCGTAATTGTCTGTTCACGCGAGCAAATGTGTCTATAAAGTTCAGCGGAGGTCGGCCATGGCGAGCCTGTGCAGCTTGTTTTACAGTGTTTTCCGTTGCGTAGCGTGAACATGTCCTTGTCAACGCTGCCAGATTCGTGCTCCCGCCCAAATCGCTGAACCTCCGATAAAGGGAGACGCAACTGCTGGAAAAAGCGTCTGAATGAAGAGATATGGTAGTCCTGTGCGCGCTTTTTGCGAGAAACAACAGGTTGGCTCGCGCCAAAGCGCGACGCGCGGACACGCCATATCATTGCAGCGAACTATAGAGTGTGAGTTGTACTGTTTAAGTCAGCTCAACAGACTTACGAGATAATGTCCGACTTAATTAATATTTGCAGTTATTTCGGATTAGTTTGATTGAAGAAAGTTTTGTACTATTTATTTTTGGGCATATCCAGTTCTCTACAAAGCCAAAGTTTCGTTGTACAGGACTCAGCAACATTTGACAATTTGCGTCTGCTCGTTACTGCTGCCGCACTCCACTACGACGCCCCCCGCGCCTCTTCGCTGCGGCAATAGCGACCCCCGTTGGGATCCCCCAACCAAACGACGTGCGCCTGGTGTCGGGCAGCTAATGAGTGTGCCACGACGCCAAGTGAAGGGCACGTCCGTTTGGCGATCTCTCCAGAAAATGTGTCAAACCATTGTCGGACAGTTGCCCTCACATGGGAGCTCGGAGTCGTCCCCAGTGAGAGCAACTCGTCCAAAATTTTACACCACAACTTTCACTGATCAACTGGGGGATGCCGTTGATGAGAGTAGAACACCGCAATAAACAACCCACGTCCATTATATAGTCTGTCAGCTATGAATTCGTCCTTAGTAATTCGTACGAGTTGAACCATTTTTGCGGGAAAAATGTTGCCCATTACTTGGCCACTGACACGTCAGTTGACAATGTGATCCGGCCAAACAACCTCCTGCCCAAAACCGTCTCTGCCACTGCTTGAAGTGGGTATGCGACACTAAGTTGTTAGAAAAGGAGTGATACAACAAAATGATACAAGCTTTGTCAGCTTGCTCGGTTCAACAACGCTGGAGCATGGGTTAGCACCGCGCCAAAACCTGGCCTGACACTCCCTTTCGTCCGCAGTCGACCACAGCTATACTCGTACACACTTTCTCCCTCATCCCAGATACATCTCTTGGCAACCTACATAGTTATCTCTGACGAAAAGGCGTGTTGCAATGTCGCTAGCCACAATTGCGAATTCAAGTTTGATTTTACTGTGCATCACAAGAACTCACTGGAACAATGTTTTCCATTTTCAGGATTGAGTTCCGCGAAGAAGTGGATCTCTGAAGAATGACATTGGAGCAGAGCTATTCGTGGTTAGCAGTGGCGATGACGGCAAGCTTTGAACAAGATTCTCAACTTACCTCAAGGAACAAAAATTATCCGTATTTCGACATGGAGAGGAACTGATCGTAGATTTTGGGACCGAATTGGCCGATGCATATTTGCCAAAGGTTAGCTACACCAAGGTTATGAGCAGTCTTCGCGAATATGAGTATTTCAGTCGCGCAATTGGATTCGTTGTAGACTATGAGAACTCCACGGCTAATCTTGGACATCTGCAACTCCGATTCTAGTCCATCCAAAACTTCCCTGAACGGTATGCAAGCAGTTCAATCGATTAATGTTTGTTCATACTTTATGGACTCGGCTTTGAGGTACTAAGCGTTTCGGAGCGGATAAAGGAGCGTGGGTATCTACCGGTGGCCGATCACAGAGTTTTTAGGAATCTGGCTTTGGAAAATCGACGTTTGGGAGAATCGGTTTCTGTCTGCCGAAGAATCTAAGCTTCCTCCTAACGTCTTAACGCGACGATACCCATAATTTCTTCTCCGCTCTAAAACGCGCAGGTTGTGAAGTATGAACTACAGCCTTAACCGACGAGGCGCAGTCAAACCGTGCTCCTCATAGACAATATATAATAATAATAATACAGATAATAATGAAAATCCGCCGATTTTGATGAATCACATGTAGTTGGTCACTGAGAGCCATTTATTGACATATATTCGTGAAGATGCTCCGCCTGATCCTTCACGAAGCTGTACGTGCGTCCAGAAAGATCTCCGAACACCTCACAACCTCCTCGTCGGGTCAGAAATTGACTACCCCGGTAGTTTCGAGCCAGCATTAGTAGGCGTTATTTAATCGTACAATTGAGTGCAGGCTGCTGTCAGTCTATCATGCTGACTGCCTCGAGAATTTCACAAGAGGAATTCGACGAATGAAGGGAAGCGTCCCCGAATTGTTGACGCAGGATTCCCGATCTCCGCACCTGATGTTGCCAGAATCGTTTTCGTGGTGTACAGCAAGATACTTTCACTTAGACATCCCTATGCATTTAATTACCTGAAGGCTAGATATTCTAACCCCTACTTATCCTACCTACATTGTGCATGTGATCTTCGCCATACGTGCGCTTTTCTGTGTTAATTTTTATACGGCAACAAAATTGAGAGAGTCATATAGTGAGGGGGATTATGGTCAGTGAACCAGATATAAGGGGGGAAGGGATTATCGTCAACGAACAATTTGCAGTACGATAAGAGTTTGAGCAGCCCAAAGCCAATGAAAGAAAAATCCTCATGTTGGAACTAGGAATTGCTTGAGTAATATAAAAGCACTTTACTTACCCAAAGGCCCCACTTATACACTACAAGCTTCTTTGAAGTAGGATGTACCATCACTCAAAAAAATTCACAATAGAATTACTTTCAAATAGCTAACCTAGAGGCGTGAGGTGGCAGGAAGATGAAGAGTAGCTCGAAAATATACGCAATTAATCGTGCCTCGTTTCGCAAGTGAGCGCATGGGCTAGCATCTTTCCAATAAAGGGCGATCATCACGGTAATCAGGAAACTGGTGAACGGACGAGTTGTTCATTGATGCGGACAAATTATCCAGTGCAGAAAATGGGTTGCAGAGGCCTGGTACGGGTGGCAATAGCGCTCGTAAAATTCTGAACGTCTGTCTTCTGAAGTGGTCATCCACCCCTGTTGCTCATAATTGTAAGGGGTTTCTAAATCCGCAGTGGGAATGCACACGGATGTTTCTTGGAGTGTAGCGTTAATTTTGACCAAATAGGGCGTTTATTTTTTGAGAATCTGTTATAGATAGCAAAATGTGAAGCTAGCTATTTCCAGTGACAAAGTAGCCGTTCCTGTTGCGCTTGGTCATTACGAGGACAACATTGATCTAATACAGCAGATATCGGATACGCAAAAGACCAACGACGGAGTGGCCATCGCGTTGTACGGTCTCAATGCTGCTCGACAACAATTCCAGGTTTCTTGTTTTTCATATTGTGCCAGCTACACTTGACATCTCTTACCATTCTCAATTCTTTCTAGTTGCACGGAAGAGAGAATGCAACTCGTATTGTGATAATGATAACGAATGGCAGGAACAGGTATGTACACGCTCTTTCCCTTTTCCCTTGAAATTCTATAGAACTTCCTTGGAGAATGTCTAGGTGAGGTTTTTTGCAGAGGAAATGCAGCACCGGCGGCTGAAGATCTTCGAAATATTTACAATGTTCAGTTGTTCATTCTGGCAGTTGCAGCCGATGCCGAAGGACTTGCAACATTGAAACGCATAGCCGGTAATGTTTTCATGAGAATCTCTGAACGTTCATGATTTCAGGAGCATCGTCTTAGCTATCGATCCATCTAAAGTGCGTACATACTTTATGGCAGCGACCAACAGCAGCATTAGCGCCCACCAGCGTTTCGAGCGTCCGTTAGCGTCAGCAATGCGAAAGTATACATAGATAGGGATCTAGCATCTACAAGCGTCCATCAACAACCAGCAGCGTCTCGAGGGCGTTGAAGTATAGGTAACATTCTAGCGACCAGCACCACCTACCAGCCTCCACCAGAGGTCAGCAGCGTCTAGAGTGGGGGAATATGGAGCGGCAAGACGTTAGCAGACAGCTGGTAGTGTGGGGGATAGTAGGGTAGTAGACTCTCAGTAGAGATTATGAGGCGATAGGTGGGTACCAGCTAGTTGCCTACCCCCCCACCTCTCTAGACTACCAGCTGGTGGATGCTGTTAGACGCTACTGGTCGCTAGATCAATACCTATACTTCCCTAGCCCTCGGATCGCTGCTGATCGGTGGTGGACGCTGGCAGAAGCTAGATCGGTATCTAC